GAGCACAGCTTGCCAACGCTCAAGGCTTGAAAACGCCTTCATGTGATAATCTTTCAAAGATTGGCGTGACGCGCTATTCATTATTTTAAATAACAAAACGCAAAATATAAGACAGTCAGAGATAGAGCTTTCAAATAGCTTCGATGTTCTCAACGAAATCTTAACAGTATTTCTAATAATCTTATATCTATCTATATATTTGCATACCTAGTAAACATTTATTGATATCGACGACGGTTATAACGCCGTTTGTCTTGCGCCTCCTCTCTGAATTTTATGAATGAAAATAAATTCTTTATGTTTTGAAAATATCTTTGTTTCATCTTAACGACTTGGGATTTTTTTTTTTTTTGCGAATTACGTTTGGAAGTTCTCACCGAGTACATGTATTTGTATCCATTTATCATTCGGTTTGCATTGTTATCAATATTTATTCTGCTTCATTTTCTCTCGTCTGCACAAGTGTTTTTCACGTTTACCCGTGAGTTGCGCTCTTACTATAAATTCCTTCACACGTTTGGACCTAATTTACTGAAAATCTTTAATAAATAAGCTTAAGCAAGGTACCCATTAAACCTTACCTGTTCATGCCAATGGAGTATACAATTCGTTATCTATTGCGACCATGTACTTTTTTTTATCGACGTAATAGCAACACAATACGGGGTAGCGGCCTTACACTGGGGAGAAAGCTATCCCGAAATCGCTTTCGCATTACTTTGAGATCATTTCGTAAGGGTTTTTAATCCTCCCCCCTTCTCGCCTGAGATTATGGGCTCGAATGTCGGATGTATGACTTTACATTGAAGCATTTCTCGTAAAACACTAGCGCGTTTTTTCCATCGTTCGGTGTCCATTAATATGACCGCTAGCAGGTTACCTAGCGTAATTGCTGCGCATTATCGTTTATGCTTCGACACAACTTGCATGCGTTATTTGCTTGTAAATTGAGTTAGGAAGGAATTAACTTCTCAGTGCCTCCTCCCTATCTATTGTTCTGCGTTTGGGATGAGCGTGGATGCCCAACTACATTTCGCGTCGTTTTCCCGTCGTTGTTGTCATTCTGCCAACATGCTCTGCCAGATAGCAGTCTTAAGTCTGCCGTACACACTTAGTCAATCATTCCTCTTCGCCGGGCCGCTTTTAGCTATTGTTTCGCGGGGGCTGACAATATCGTTTCCTCTGCTCTTGATAGTTTTCAGTTCTTGTCTTCGCTACCTCTAGCCTCCGATAAGTCGATCATATGCCTTATAGTATCTTATGCAATTGACTGATTATTTTCTCTTTCTCTTAAGTAATAAAAAAGGAGATTTTAGAAGCGCGATGCTATTAGATCATCGTGATGCTTGAAGTTTCGTGTGTGTACCAGTTTAATGTCGCCCACGATGCGAAGCTCAGGGTTTATTAGTTTTCAATTACTGTGTATAGCCTTATACGATTTAGGTTTTCTCACACGACTCTCGACAGCTGTTGGATAATCGCGCTGAAAGCAATACTTGATCAAAGCATGAAAGCAGTGAGCTTGTTTCTGGGTAAGAATTTCGAGGCTAGAGACGGATCTCTCTCAGTAGATCACGCGTTAACCGTTAAAATTCAGTTTAGATGAAGTTTTCTCGTTCAACTGTCAAATACTGCTATATATTCGCGTGGAAAGAAATGCCTGATGAAAGCAAGCAAAGCTTGCTTTGATTTTTGGTTGATCACTCGTCAATAAAATCGATAAAATTCTTCGGAACATTTTTCAACTTATGCGTTGTAAATCTAAACAATAACCAAAAAACGGTTTTAATACCGGATACACAAAGAAGACTGATGTGCTGCTGGGTACTGCGTGAGTAAGTGGTGAAAAGTGTAATGGACCGAATTTCGCTTTTAAAACGAAATCAACTCGAACTCGAACGACGAGAATAATAAGCGTCGATAAAAGGCGAACTATATACGGCGTGATCCAAGATTCGTGATTCAAGAAGGAAGAAATTTACCGCACCACCGTCCCGCAAAGTAATGCTTTGTGTTTGGCAAGATTAGAACGGAATCAAACATTATGAGCTGACCAACTACTTTGCACTGTTTGACGGGCATGATTTCGCGGGAGTCAACATATTGTCTTCCAAAAATAGGCCCAATTTGATTTTGTCGTTGTTAAGTGTATATATTATAGCGAATCTATTTCGTCACTTCAAAATAATTCTCTTCAGATACTGTACACGTATAGCAAACAACGCTTCTTCCAATTCTCGAGCAGTACTATAATCGAATTCCGGAATCGCCTTCAAAACTTTCTGCGATTTATCTTGTATCGCTTTAATCGAATTAAAACGTTGTACCCGTAATGGTCTTTTGAGTTTAGCAAGTCGCCAGAATTCATGTGTAGAGACGCGGGTTGAATTGAACGTTTCGAAGAACGAATGTGGAAATTGAGCATCTTTGGTACCAATCGATATTTGACGCCCTTCAGGCCCAAAATATAGTTTAAAATGTTATTGACTCATGCGTGAAGTGCGAAAGCATCAGCAAGGTCCCTAACTGTTGATCGAGCACCGAATCCTTGATTTGGGATGGCCTTCACCTTCAACCCGTCCTCGTCCTTCTTTCAAATGCGTTAACATTTCTTTCTGACTGAGGCTACTCATCCAAGGTTCTCTGCAACATCCTGAACTTGTTTGCACTGAAGTTTTTTCTATGTAACTTCTACGCTCAGCGAACTCTCACAGTGTAGAAATCAGAAAGAATACTTTTTATGCCGTGCAGAACCGTGCGCTGCTGAAACGCTCTTAGTTTTTGAACACAATACTATATGCAGGCGTTGTTATCGCTAAGGACGTCATAAATCGTTTTTTAGACATCGTTAATAAATTTGCAGAATATATACCTTTTCCTTCTTCATTGAAGCGAAGAAGATCGAGCGGATTTTTTTAAGGCCAAATATTGAAAGTAGTTTGCTCTCATGATCACAAGATGAACGCTCTCATCTTACAAGCTTGGACAAAACATTGATGTTTGCTGGCACTCAAACTTGCCTATGCGGTCAGTTGCCAAATCGATTTAGAAGCCAATACCGTTAACATTTAAATTCACCAAGTCAAGGATCCAAAGTTCTGTGCGCAGAACTACTAAAAGTTATTACTAAAAGTTATGTTAATATGTTCTCTGCACTCATCGAAAGTGTGCTAATATATCAAGATGAAACTTTCAAGATAGTAAAGTTGGAACAAAAATTGTGCCTGTGTCGTTGTGAGATAAACTGTTGCACCCTACGCCTTATTTGCACATTTCGAACTTTGACAAACTTTACCATGGAAAGTAGCTGCTGACAAGTATTATAGACACAAAGTGTTTTTCATAGCTTTGCAGCAGAAACCTAAACTTTACTCTTTACTGCACAAAAGTCGACAATCGAAGAACCCTTTGCTTCTTCTATTCTCATACTACATTCAATTAAATACTTGATCTCCTTGTTATTTACACTTCCGAGAGCGTCTAACGCAGTCAAAAAATAAAAAAAAAGAAGAGAGAAGAGATTAACAAATAATTATATATATATTTTAATTAAATACAAAATTTTGGTCCAGAATGTCGGCTTCCTCGCGTTTATTTTTAGATTTTTTTTTACTTTCTATTGGATTTTCCTTAAACTTAGTGAAGTTGAACGTTAAAGGCAATGATGAGTTACCCCATGTGTTTGAGCATATGGTCTATGTGGAGATAGCCCAAAATAAAGAACAACATGATTACTTTGTCGGCTGCATTTTAACGGAGAATATGATATTAGTGTCATCGAACTACGAAAGCTATCGCAGCGGCGAGCAGCTTATTTGGGATCAATACGTCATAGTTGGAACCCGGAATCATCGTGAAAAAGCAAATACAACCGAAATTATTGAAGTGAAAAGACTTATTTCGTACGCCCCTCCAACTTTTGAAGAAGATTACAATAAAGTTGAGCTCCCCAGTGATGTTATTCCAGAAGTAGCACTAATTGTGTTGAAAAGCGATATCACGATGAGATTAAAAAACATTTCAGTTATGCCATTACCACGTTTTCAATTTGCTACCGATTACAAGGAATGTGTGGTTGTTAGTTGGGGCAACAATCTCGACGTAAGTATATCTGCGCAAAAAAGCTTAAGTGAAAATCTATACACTTAATACCCGTCAAAGCGCATACTCTGATACGATTCTGAATTCATTCGGAAGCCTCGCTTGTTCCTACAGCAGCGGAAGTATACGTGCGCGTGATAAGCGTGAACATAGGAACCGTATTTGTCTTTATCGGTGTGTAGATTAAAATGAAAACGATTTCGCTACATTGCTTTAGTTTATCCGTGCGTGCTTAGCAAATGGTTTATTCAGTGCTTATTGTGGTCGCGTTTGTTTAACGCTCTCCAAAGCCAATTCATATAAAAGAACAAAATCCGAAGGACTACTGAGTCAATCATATTGAAAAACATACGCAATTTACTTGTGCAAAGTCTTCAAATGATTCCTGCAAGACGATTGCTTGCTACTTGCCCGGATACGATTCCGTTAACGGAGTCTCATAGTGTATGCTGGCAAGCGGCAGAGCGAGTAAGGCTTATATACAGATTCCTGATGATGGGTACAATGGGTTATACTTGTTCCGCGGTTCATCTCTTGTTTACCGTACGCGTATTTGGCTTTGGTTCTAATTATTTGACGATGGGCATCTCCAACTTTATTCTAAATCACCCATCGGCGTTTTATAGACCATTTCTCCATTTCTAGCTTTAGGAAGCTTATAGTTGCTGCCGTATGTCTGGGTGAGAAAATTGAAATCACTTGCAGCTGTCTTGCCGCTTTTTCGTACATATCTTTCGTCTTTCAACAGTTGATCAGTTAACTGTGTTGATCGTGCAGAATATGTGTAATATGCAATTAGCTTGTAATGAAACGATTTCACAAAATGCCAAAATACATCATTTTGACAAATACACAGACATAATGATGGAATTTTATGAGGAAATTCAGCAAGGACGGATGGACGGATCATGATTTCGTCGTTTATTCATCATACACACAGTTAACTGATTAGGGCGGCTGTTCGGTGGTAACGCCGCGAGCGTTCTTTCTTGTTGCAGAACGATACCTGACTCGCATTTTGCCGGCCACATGTCATTTTTTATAAGAGGCTATGTGTGTGCGCCTGTGTCATCACGTGTCTAGTCAAGTACATCGGTTTGCTGCTTTTTTCTTCAATTTATTTTTAAGTTTTAACAAATGGATCTCGAAAGTCTTTTGAAGATTAGAAGACCTGCTAGATTTCTAACCGGAACAAATGATTAAATGCGAGCGGCGCAGACCGTTCTCAGTTTTAGCGTTTTTAAATTAAAAGAATGCGTTTTTATTACGAATTACAAAAACTTTCGGCGACTGTACATTTATTTCGTTCCCTTTTTGTTTCTCTTTTTAATCAGCGATCATCCGAATATGATGAAGTAAAAGAACATGTTGTAAACATTGCCGACCAAGCTACATGCAATCCGGCGGTTAATTCGTTCCATTACCGATTTTGCATAGACTTTAATGATATATGTCATATCGCTTCAGGCTCTCCAGTTGTATGTGATGGTGGGTGTAAAGAAGATGCCGTTTTTTTTTTTTTTGTTATTTTAATTGCAATAACTAATAAAATTATCATATTAAAGGTGAATTAATGGGCCTGGTAACGGATGAACCTAATTGCAGGCCTGGTTCGATGACCGCGGTTAATCTCCGCGCATGCGATAATATTCACTATCACTTAGATTGGATCTATAGTAACATTGAAGATCCACTACTTCCTACACCAAGTTCAAGTTGTGCCCTACAACTGCACATAGTAATAGCAATTTTGAAAAGTTATTTATCATTATTACTACTGCTAAGTAGCAAGTAAAGTAAAAATGGTTGGATTCAATTCCCCATCCTAATCCTAATTTGCAGTTACAAGCTCATTGAAAAATATAAATTTACATACTTTGTAAAATTCGTGCCCGTGACTGCTTTTTTTTCTATTATCGCAGAATAATCCTGTCGCGGTTTATATCGTGTATCCGTTGCAGTTTATGAGCAACGAGCAGGAGACACAGAAAGCAAAGGTGTTTAAAGTTTTGCCTGCATGTTTGCAAGCGATATCGTCTCTTTTGGGAAAAGGAAAATGTGTATCACAGGTTCTGCAAAGTGGACGAACGGACCGAAGGACGGCTATATTCCAAATTTGACGGAGTATTTATAGACCTTGTAAGGTTTTTGAAGTGCGCTACCCGTGCGCATTGAAAACTTTAAGTCGTGCAAGCAGTACAGCACTGCCCGTGGAATATACGCCCACATTTTTGTAAATTTATGTGCCGTAGTTTAAGCGTAATGAGCAAAAAAACAATATTTTATTGCTTTTGAAACACAGAAGTGTTCTCAGTTCACGTGGTACTGTGCGTGTGCCATTCAACCGATTTGGCCTGCAAGAACTTCGAATGTTCCTGACAAGTTTGAACGCTAAACCTTTATTCTTGCGGCATGGAAGGTATTTATTACATACGTCACACAAGCGGACAGGTGGAGAGACGGACATGCTTAAATTGAAAGAGAATTTGATGCTGATCAAGAAAATATGTTTATGGGATCTCTGAAGTCGCCTTCTGGGCACTGACAACATGAATATACCCCTCATCCCTTTCAATGATGGACATAAAAAGTTGACAACGACAACTCACTAGCAACTTCACAGAATTTAACCTTATCGTCAAAATTTAATAAAAGTGAGAATGTAAATAAACTCAATTGGTAAAACAAAAGCGGGGCAATACAAAGCCCAAGTGTGGATTGAAGAGTGAGTTTCCAAGTGATCGATTGAATGATTTTGTTTAATTAAAACGGGGGATCATCTCAAGTGCCGGCAGGTTATAGAACCTATATATAATGTTAATTTTTGTTTTGAGTTGGGAAGTTTGCTGGTCCAATAGTTGAATAGGGCTGGTTCGCTACAAAAATTCTTTATAGTACTTTATAAAGGAGTTGTGATTCAATGAATGTGTTCGTACACACATGAGTATTCAATAAAATTCTTCCAGATTTAACTCATTTATTTTACGATAGTGGATTTATATTACATCGTCGTTAATGTCATAATATTTTGTACACTAAATAACATATATGTGTTAGCAGTGATGGATCGCATACAGGAGATAACATGAATGCACGCATAGTTAACAAATAGAACAAAAGCAAAAGCTGAATGAAAGCTTACATTTTTTAAAGAGTTACACTTGCTTAGGAAATGGTTTGTTCGCAAACTTCACCGTTCGTTAACCCTTAATACATATAATACCTTATATTACGTTTGAATTTATTTCAAGAACGAAGTAAGAATTTCACTTCAGTCATTTCACTTCTTGAAAAGAAGATATTTTCCTCTTATATGACTAAATCGCAAGGCATCGCAAATATGCGAAGCGTAATGAAATTTTTTTAATTTACGAAAATTTGCTAATACCATCCAAATTACATATATTTTTGTATATAGATATGTATGTATATACAACGTGTGTAGATGTGAAAGTTTTACATCTTCACTAAAAAACGAGATCGCCGTCATTACAATCAATCAACAGTCCATCAACTTATGGCACTTAAAGTGAGAAACACTTTGGTCATCTCGTTACAAAAACACTACGAGCTTCTATTGAAAATGTTTTCATATAATAACATTATAGTCGGGCAAGGACGGCCTTTAAATATCTGTCAACACTTTGACTATCTTGAAATAAGTGTTCACTTATCTTCGCTATACCATATTTCGATGCAAAGGCACGTTTTCCGTGGATGCTCTTACATGGAAACGGGTCCAAAACGTGAATTCAAGTGCTTCGAATTTATCAAAATTAATGATCTTTCGAAAAGGTCTTATTATTTTTCCCCTATTTTCGTCATAATGCGCACTAAGAACTGCACTTCATTCGCGTATAACAGCTTATAAGGCCCTTACAGACCCACCTGGTCCAGTTTTCATTTAGTTAATTTTTAAGGCAGTTTGCCACTATGGATTAATTTTCGTTATAAAATGATTAGAAAAAAATTTCATATTTTTCGTAGGAGAGATTGTAGGGTAAAGGGTTGCAAGAAATTCTCCCATTCGGTCCAAATTTTGCCTATAAATTTAATATGTCGAATTGAATTACTAAACTGATTTTCTCGAGAAATTTTGAAAATTGATTTTTTTCTTAACGACTTTCTCAATAGTATGCGCAGAAATGATCTGATCCAATCCATGTTCACTAGGCTTTGTTGTTGGACTGAGAAATGTGAATTGTGAAATTTTCATTTGTGACTTAAACATAAAGATATGTGGAGGCCATTCGACAGGCAGACGGGCATACATGCTCAAATCAATTCGGATAATTATTCTATTTTCTTATTCGATTCTATTGTATCATTGATCGATATAATAAAAAAACTATGATTACCTTAAGTTGTTCTTGGTGTTCCATACATCCGTGTAAAGATGACGTTTTCTGTACCATAAAAAATGGGGCGCATAAAAATGACATCAAGTATTATTGATTCTACGTATTGTAGGAATTTTTTTAAAGCTCGAAATTGGGAATGGATTTATTTTGATATCCATCTGGTGATTGTAGTTTCAACTTTTAACTTAAGCTCTATAAAAATTTTACAAACGCACTGCAATTAATGATAGGGCGGTAAGTGCTTATATGAGGGATGTGTGTCCGAGTTGTTGTACAACCTATCGCAGCAAGTTTTAGAAATCGACCCACACTCAAGCTCCAATTGAAATGGATTTTTGGAAACATTCCGCGAAGGTATTGTCTACGATGCGAATTCGACTATGTGAAATAGATAGTGGACGAGGCGGATACTTTAAAGGACATAATCCACGAAATTTGTGGGAGCAGTTTAAACAAACCAAAAGTCCACGCTTGACAGGAAGAAAGCTTTCGTCCAATTGTTAACTGAAGGGAGGTACTTTAAATAAAAAAGAATTGATTTTAACAATTATATGCACAATTATGTAGATAGATGATCGGCCTCAGTGATGGAATAGGCAAAGCATCTCGAGTTACAATTCAATGATCGTCGGCTCAAATCTCGAAGTGTTGTTGAGTTTTCAATAAAGCCGATGGCTGCAGATTCTAGTGCCCTAAGATTTTAGTCTTGGAACTTAGTTCTAGATAGCTAAATTAATAATAATAGTGTATATGTACTCTATGTGGCCGTCAGCGCACGTTTGAACGTGTAACAAGTCTCTTGGGAACCGCCGATTTGTGTGTGAATGAATCTCCGAATCGTGTCAATGTATTTTGTTCTATTTAATAATAATGTTGCCCAGAGTTGTGCTTATGTTTTATTTCATTTCCGGTTAGTGCGCTCTTATCATCTGTAAACAAGTACACGTGAGCATAATTATGTGCACAGGCCTGTGCCTGTTTATACGTGTACGTGCATATATGATGTGAAAGTGTATTTGTGTCATTTTCAAAATATAAACTAAATGATGAAAAGCATTTCATATTACCGCTACTATGAATGAGAATTAAATGCAATGTTTTGTGTCACTTACACCACTCGGTACCAGTATGACGGCATAGCAATATCGTTGCAACGGCAACAGCAAAAACAACTTTTGTTAGCCTAAATTTTTTACTGACATCTATCTGTGTTTATACATATATATATATATATGTATGTATATATATATATGTATATATGGCCAGCTCCATATAAAAGAAAACTATAACAAGCGGAAAACATAAAGAAAAAGTCTAATCATTGATTATACTTTGTTTGTCTCTCTTATTTGCTTTATTACACTTTTGCTGCAACTAAGGACAGTTGGTTGGTTAGAGAGATATAGATAATAAGTATGTATAGTGCATGATATTTCATTAAGATAATGACAAAAAGAAAATTTAATATAATAAATAAAAATAAAATCTTATTTCATTAAAAACAAAAAAAATAAAAAAAATACTGTTTGCAAATGTTTTTATATCGTCTTCCTCTCCTTCTTCTATTGCTCGAATATTTACAGGCGAAATGGATGAGTTAATTGAAAAATTAAAAGCGACCACAGTTAGCCCGAACTGTTCGTCGGATAATACGACGTCTATTTTAAGTGAAATATCAGCGACAAAAGATCCAAAATTATTTGACAAACATGAATTGGCCGATTTTTTTTTATCCCTAACACAATCGGAAGATACGAATATACGAAAGGAGGCGGCCAAGTGTATAGCGGAGATCACTAAATCGGAAGTGCAACGAAAGAAATTTACTAAACCGGAAGTTATAAAAATTTTTCTCGATTATCTGCGTAACTTGAACGGAGAAACTGATAATATGGAACTTCCGATACAGATATGCAGAGCACTGGGCAACATTTGCTATTTGAACGATGAGGCTCGTGATATTATACTCGATATGAAAGGTGATTTAGTATTGATAAGACTATTGGATATTACTGTTATCGAGGATAAAGTGCATGGCTTGCAATTTATAAAAGTAAGAGGTGGCCTATTATCCAATTATTTATTGGGCGGTGAAGGTTTGGCGAAAAGAGCAATGGACTTGGAAATTATGCAAAAAATACAAAATATTATCGCGATTGGCGTAACAAATGTGGAGGAAAATGAAGATCTATTATTAAACACTTTGCCTTTGATGAGCATTTTAACGGAAAATGTGGCCGAATTGAATTTTGAAGCTGAGCTGAACGTGCAATTGTCACGCATTTTAGCCGCGTCAACCAATCCCGATTTAGCGGAAATGTGCCTTGAACTTTTACATTATCAGGCCGAGAGTGATGAAGTGAAATTACTATTGGCCAAGGATGGTCTTTGCGAAACGATTTATCAGCTTTTGGAGAAATACAAGACTCTGGCAAGCACGAATGAGGCGAGAGCCTTAATGAAGCTGGCCTGCGAGCTAATCGTTTTAATCCTTACTGGCGGTAAGTTTAGATATTTCTAATTAATCTTTTTATACCCTACACCACTTATGGTACAGAGTTCATTAAGTTTGTCTGAACGTACGTAACAACCAGAAGGAATTAACGTAGAATCAGTTTTCTTTTACCCTAACCACCTAACCAATCTTGCTTATTTGTCCGTCTGTTCATGTGCAAGTCGCAGTTTTTTGAAATATTTTGATGAAACTTGGTACACTGATACGAAAATAATAAAATTTTTAAATTATGTTTGCTGAAATTCGGTCACGCTGTATGATATTTTTGACATCCTCCAATATGCGGGCTTTGATGAAAAGTATGGCTTTACCTAAAAATAATGTGTAATTTTTGGTGTATTATTGCTAAAATGTGCGATTAACTTTACCAGGCGAAATGGTGTAGGGTGTCTAAAGATGGGCGTTGCCCGATTATAATATTTTTCCTTGTTTTCTTTCTATGATGATAATACATTTCTTCTATTTTCTTATACAGATGAATCCATGCATTATTTGTACACCACCTCTTTATTAAAGAATATGGAAGACTGGCTAGACTCGAGCGATATAGATCTCTTGACCACCGGAGTACTAGCTTTGGGTAATTTTGCCCGCACGGATAGTCATTGCATTTATATGGTGGAGAATAAAACCATGAACAAATTGTTAGAAGTGTTGGCCAAAAATAACGGTGTAAAGGATGACGTGCGTTTGCAGCACGCTCTCCTAAGCACGTTACGAAATTTGGTTATTCCCAAACCTAATAAATGTGCCGTTATACAAGCTGGTCTTGTAGAGACAATACTGCCTATGCTGGAAATTCATCAACCGCCGGTAGTTTTCAAACTTTTAGGCACTTTACGCATGACTGTTGATGGACAAGGTAAGGAAAGGTCTTTAAGTAAAAAGAGAAAAAAAATGCTAAAATTTTGAATTTTCTGTTCCAGAAAAGCTCGCTTTAGAACTGTTAAAAAATAAAACCCTAATAGAACAGTTAGTGCATTGGAGCAAGTCGTCAGACTATGCCGGAGTTACCGGAGAATCTTTGCGTTTAATGGCTTGGCTTATAAAGCATGCGTATCTTAACAAGATCGCGTACGCTTTGCCGCGCAAAGGCGACGCTCCAGCTGAACAATTAGTGGATAAAATACCTTCTATGGATTACGATCGTAGCAGTCTTATAGAATTTATAAATAACGAATGCACGATCGAAGCAATGATTAATATGTTAACCTCTCAGCATTTAGTTATGCAAAATGAAGCCTTGATAGCTTTATGCATACTTTGCGTAGTATTCCTGGGTAAATCGTCCTCCTCCTCATCCCCCTCCTCCGCCAGCTCCTCGTCCGCCGCAACGGATGGTGACACAGCTATTAAGCTGCAGGATGCTTTCATTAAATTTGAAGTGGGCAATAAATTAGCAGAGTTAATAAATAAATCTTCGGATACTATGACAAAAGAAATTGTTGAAAATTTACAAAATTTTACGAATCTTTTGCGTAACTCAGACAAATTGGTCGCTCACTTGGAGGAGAATAACATCAACGAGTTGTTAAAGTCTATACCAATATTAACCGAATATTGTACTCTCTAAAACGAGCATAATAATAGCAAGGCACCGTAGTCTTCGGCGTTAGGAAAACTTGAAAAAGAAAAAAAACTTCGCACACCGCTTACACTGGAAAATACTTGTATAAGTGTGCGCGCGTATATTTATATTCGAAAATCGGTTGAAGAAAATTGTTAAAGGATCGACGAAAACCAGTTTTTTGACAATGAATTTTTTTTTTATTTTTTTTTTTCATTTTTTTTTTACGACATCTTTATTAATAAATATATAAATATAGTGAGGCATTTATATATATTTAAGACATGTCAAGCATTTGCATTTTCAACGCTATTCTCCTACTAGCACTTGAGTACCATTTACATTATTATGATCTTTAAGCAATGATCGCAAGCATTTTAGAAACAATTTCTAGCACTTAACAGTAGAAAGGCTTAGCAGCAATCATACAACAGACAAACGATAATCCGTATAATACAAAACTTTCGTTAATCTTTATATGTATTTTTTAAGCGATTCTCATCCGATTATTATTTATTCTCTGACTTGAATTGAAGAAAATTAAGAAAAAAAAAAAAAAAAAAAAAAAATCGAAAGAAAAAGAAAAATTAATTTTATAACATTTTTTAAAGAAGATTTTATTTATGTTTTTTAAACTTATCGCATAATTTAAAAATAAATAAGCACAAACTATCAGCACAATGTTTTAAAAATATATATATAAATAAATAATATAATTTTATGTATTGTAGAAGAGAGACTAAAGATTTGAAAATTTCTTTAAATCATTTTCACGCCTAAGATGAATGAAATTCTTAATGAAACTCAAATGCATGAAATTTTTTCTTCTTTTTTTTTTCCATAATAAATTTTAAATTAAAATATTTATAATAGTGTACTTGATATATGTACATAATAAATAATCACGATTTCCATAAGGTAAAAAAAACTTTTATTACAATAAAATCTTAATTATGACATTTAAAAATTTTAAGAAACAACAAATCGCTAAGTATTGAAAGTATTTGAAAAATAATAAAATTTAAAAACGTTATCGCACAATTAGAAAAACTGCAGCCTTGTTTCATTCATTCCCTTTTGTATTCTCTATTTTCAAAAATATATATATTTTTTTTATTTCAAATAGTGAAAGACATCAGTAAATAAAAGAATTCGCAGACTGACAAGCGTCCTTCGCCTAAGACGGTACCTGCAAAGCACGGTTTCGATACGCGCACGGCAAAAAGCTTGCGAATATCATAACACGGATTTTTTTTCAATTGGATTTTGCTTACATTTTTAAGTTCTCATTAATCCGGGGGGGGAGGGAGGTGTTGGGGATTTAATAATAAATAGATTAGCTGTAATTTTTGTAATCGTCATCATTATTTCTTGGCTAATTAACTTACTTTTTTATCCATATGTACACCCCTTGTGTGTGTGATGCAGGGTATACTAAGTTTGTGCGGACATATGTAACAGCCACCTTTTATTATATCGATTGATTCCGAATACCTTTTTCTGAATCAATATATACTTGTCCGTCCGTCCGCCTGATGTCTGGCAACGCGTTTCTGTGTTCAACACAAAGGTCACAATTTTAAGATATTTGGTACACTAAGGCCATTTAACCCAAGGACGAACGCTATTGAGCATAGTTTGGTTTTGGGCCACCTTTTCGACCACTTTCCACATAACTTCTCATCTTGAGAAGCCGTTAGTGTAGATGGATCGCAAAGTGCTTACGAATTATCATTGCAGTTTGGTGTTAGCAAACCGACCATATTAACTTATTTAACAGGTAAAGTGAAAAAGTTGTTCTTCTACAAATTTCAATTTAGACGACCCGACAAGCCGCTTTTGTATATATATTTGTATATATATTTTGTATATATATTTGTAAGTAATATTTTTCGACCGACCATTGTAGCAAAAGATCATATCCATTTTGTCGAAACGCTTGAGACATTCAGAAGAGAACTTCAGAGACTCCATAAAACATATATATAAACATGATAAACATCCAATTCTGAATCGATACGTGCATATTTGTCTGTCCAATGAATGTTGTAGGCGAACGAAGTGGTCGACTTCAAATTTGCCAAAAATACTCAAAGTTTTGTGCATGCAGGATGATATTGCGAATTGGATACGCCCACAGCGCGAGGTAAACTAAGAACTGTTTATCAGATATTTTGCTCATTACTCCTATCCAATCCACCTATATCCTGTTCTACAAAAATCAATCAAATCAGCCGCACCCATGTGGTGAGTGTAAAGGAAGTCGTCCGCAGTTGAACATAGGGCTTCATCTTCTTCTGTTTTATTACTGTTTTTATTAGTATTTAATAGCTTTGTTTTCACTTTTCTGTTGATTTATTATTGTTATTAAAATTATTATTATTATTTCAATTATTATTAGATTTTTTAAATTTTTCGTTTCGGCCAACAAAAAAGATTTTGGTTTCTTATGTTCTTAAGAACTACATGCTGACTGCTATTGTTTCTATATATTCAATAATAGATAACAAGCTGACATGTTTATGCAAGATGGTCCAAAATCCACACAAGAAGTAGTGCCAGAAGAAGTTGATAGAAAACACAGGCTTATAATTAACAAGTAAGCAAATAACATTCGGTCGCGACCTCAAAAAGGCAGAAAAAAAAAAAAGTTGCATTTTCATACTCTATCAAATTGGATGGGTGTGCGGCTGATTTTTTCTATTTTCAGAATAAAGGCGGAAATTTATATAGTGCATTTCTTGTTCCTTATAAATAACGAGCAAAAGATTCGGGAAGAAAAGATGTGCCCACGTTTGTCGTATAAGCGGGTGAGCATTGCATGCCCTTCTCAACAATCATTTCTGAAATTTCTAAACAAAAAATGCAAAAACTTTGCGGATTGGCCTAGCGATCAAGATGGAATTGAGGACCAAATTGAACTCCTATGTCAATTTTGGGACAGCCTTTCGGACACATACATGCTATTGTGTAAAAAAAAAAGGTCGCCTCTTAAAGTCTACCGCCATTTATCGATATCTCGGCCCCCAGTTCTAACGGTGTTTCGACGTCATGGTAAAGGCCAAATTGAAAAGGTTTTTTAAGCTCAACCGCGTACCTCATTCGATACTAGCTGCCGATTGCCCGCCAAACAGTGCATTGGTATTTGTAGGGATATCTTTTTTTAATCTTCTTGGGCATGTTGTCGTTCGTTTTGACATGGGCCTCGATTTCTTCTTCTCACTTTTGTTCTTGTACCAAGGCCTTCAACAGTTTCAGTTATTCGGCTCACCTAAAATGATACAATCATCTCTCTCAGTCATCCCTCAGAGGCACAGAGAAAAGATTACAAGCTGTTGACAAGCTGTTAAAGTTACCACCGCATTGTTATAGGAGATGGACCATAAAAAATCGGCTTTGTTTAAAGATATAAGATGCTTTCGTGCAAATGGCTTGCTGGGTCCCGCTTATACATACATTTCGGTTTTTTCTTTGCTAAACCATTATTTGATTCGTATATGCTGTAGGTAGTATTACTTGATGAAGAATGTCTATCAGGCGGAAGCGGATACCCGAAGAAACTGCAGATAGAATGGATTTTTTAGTGCTGGCAGTTTAGAAGAATAGCTGCCGATTTTTAAGGATCCCGTAAGAAAATTTCTTGGATCTGTTTTAAATGAGACACTGTCGGCAGTTCATATTAATTGGAAATTTCCGACTACCCTTAAAATTGCAATAAGAAATATTTTGTTTTATTGAACTTTAAATAAAATGATTTGTGTAAATTTCTTTCATTGAACAATTATCAAATTTCAGCGCCTTCCTTTCTCCGTTCTTTTGCCGTTCTTTTCGTCCACAAAAAAAAAGAAAAGGGAATGCTTGTTTGTTTAATCTAGCTCTTCGTCCGTCTCATTAAATGAGTACCTAAATGGTATCGTACGATATATTCTTATCTCAGTTTTCAAGCATTGCAAAAAATCGTAGTCGAAAGATCCTAAACGATAGGGACTGCTCTGTATATGATAGATATGTAAGCCGCGGGAACTCTTTATAATCATACCGTTATTGAACATAATTTTGCTCTCCCTCACTGTGGAATTAAATTGATGATTGAACGATACACCACCGGAGGCCAAATCTCCTTTAAGACCTTGGAAAATCCTTAACTGGTGCGACGTTAGACGTGGATCCCGTTTTGTTATTAGACGTATAAATTGTAAATTCGGGCACGATTTCACCAGCACTTCAATGAAGCAAACTAGATTTTTGAAATGTTGCTCTATTTCCATAAACGGTTCATATATATGAACTTCGGCAACGCTTTCGTTCAAAAATCTTTCAAATATCTTACGAAAGCTATGACCTCGCACGTCTTGAGGTATAAACACCTGCTCAACTAATTGACTTTTTGTGATAGCTTTCTCAATATGTTTGTTAAGCATGTGGGCTTTCTGTTCAAATTGCTTCAATTTTGTCTTGTAGAATTCCTGATTCGATGGATTTATGCATTCTTTGAGGGAATTGCGTAATTTATTAATACCTTCTTCATATAGTTTTTGCGATTCCAATATACATCCGTCCTTTTCACATCTTTCGGCTCGGACGATATAATTTAAGTCTTGATGAACGTTCCAGCTTTTCTTCATCATTTGCACGCCTTTTTCCTTCCTTTCTGTTTTTTTGTTTTGAAAACTAGAAGCTAAAATTTGAAATTTGCTTAATGAAAACAAATAGTTGTTCGAAAAAATGATATTTGTTACTTAAAAGTCATTTTAAACAACGGTTACTCAATATCTACGTCCGACAAAATGACAAACTACAACGCTTCTTATCGAAGGAACGAAGCATTTTAAAGGGTAATCAAGAACATTCAACTTTATCTTGCGCGTCCTCAATTTAAAACAATTTAACATATGACGAGTCATTGTTTTCTTTTGATAAACAAAAACTCGTATTTTTTTGTTAAGAAAATAGTAAAAAATGTATTTTATTTAAAATATTATTCATCTGCCCTTTTTGGCAGAATATTCTGCCTTTGAAATCAGCATCGAAAGCACATTTGGTCTATTGAGGATATGTTTAGTTTATAATTCACCAGGATCTGGGGAGTTGCCTAAAACGCGCAAATACCATCCAGAGGAGGAAGAGTACATCGAATCAATTATGTTAAATTTGCCAGATGCTGGAAAATTTCCGGAAGAACGCAATTACCATCAGGGAGGAAAAGGGGCAAGGTTCGGCAATTCTTCCAAAAAGAGCTCACCTTGATATCATTCCAAGTGATGAATTTGCTCATAGCGACAAAAACGACAGCTATTATGGTGCATATCAGGGCAATGGTTGCAATGGGAACACATACAATAGCAACGGTTTTGTAAATACATACATCGGTAGCAGTGATCAGAATTCCAAAAACGGAAAAATTGAACAAAGTTATCACGGACCCGAACATGAGGTAATGGCTATGAACGCTTATGCTCTTCACATAAGGGGAACCGATATAGAAATCGATAACGAAGTGAAAAAACGGACTCGTTCTAGTTACTTGCCCAGTTTTTCTCGACATCTGAAGTCTGATACCGAGAACCCGTTTAGTTTTCGATGTGTAAGCAGGCAAAAGATCTAAAATGAAAATCCTTCCAAGTTTAAAAGAAACCACATCCGATACAAAGTGAAGATTTAGGTAATAAAGCTCTCACTCGCAACATTAAGGAACAAAAAACTGTATAAAAATATAAAACACTAAAATAAAAATAGTACATCCAAATATACAGACTTTCGTTTTACTTTTATCAGATCTAAAAGTGCGAAATGATGAGCTGAGGAACAGACAGGTTAAAGTATGCGCACAATACTTGCATGTCTAAAGCCCCCAGCTGGTAACATAGGCCATAGTCGTAATGCAACGCAAAAATATCTTTACTAGTTACGAACAAGGCAAGGTTTAAGTAAAGAACAAACGAAAAGAGAATAGCGAGATGCGACCCACGAAAAAATACCCTACACCGCTTTGTTTAATGTGGCTATTCATATAACGATTTTTCAAAAAAAAAGGCTTTATATGGTGCACGGACGAAAAGTTGTCTCATCCGGACTACTCTCATTAGTTGTGCTTACATATTGCAAATAAACCGGCATGCAACCAAAGAGTTGTTTATAATGACTACTAACCCCACTTGCATAAATTGTGATCACAATACCGTCTACAATATGATTACTAATCACACTTGCATAAATTATAATCAAAAATCTTCTTTATTTTACCGTGTCCGCCTGAGATTTCAAATGTCATATGAACGATACCAACAATGCAATGAAATCGATCGATGAAAATGTCTGAAGCATGTTTTCCATAATATCATCAAACTTCATACCCTTTAAGCGACAATTTCTGGATGAGCCATGAGAATTGCTTACTCTATAATTATATATATATAAGTATTATTTACATATATTTTTTGTTTGTTGTTTATCAAGATATAAGAATTTGTATTTGCAAACTGTTTTGTTTTTCATGATCAGTGCTTTTTGAGGTCTTTTAAACGTTTTTGATGTGGTTTCAAAAGTATTGAAGAGACTTTAATAAAACTGACTAGCCGCTAAGATCCCTCACGGAGGGTATGTGCGGGGAACCTAATGTTTTGGTTCTCCTGAAATCGAGAATAACAAGGTTGTTGGAGAGAGTTACTGCCGGAGGCAACGGCTCTTCAAAAAGACAAGCCTTACAATGCTTATCATGGAAAAATAGCGAAAGTATTTAATGTAATGTCCGCCTGAGTAGCCGAAGGCGAGGAATCTCGACTAGCAAGTCAATGGTCGTGGGTTCGAATCTCAAGTAGAGTTTTTAATAAAATCCGATAGCCTTAGATGCTAGTGCTTTTAAGAGTTTAGTCTTAGAATTTATTTCTCTGGCGAAATTAATAATAATAATAATAATTTAATGTAATATCCCGCATAGTTGGCGTTATAGCTAATAAAAGCGTTCATAGAGAAGTCTTGCCTAACTATATCAACATAAGCGTCGAGCATGTGCAATACTACAAGTGCTGCGAAGATTTTTTGCGGAGAATAGGAGGAAATGAACACCGATCGCAAGAAGCCAGAGAAAAAGATGGTTTCGTAGGTTTAAACCGTCAACTAGCTTACGGTAAGCTTAGAAACGGTAATTTCGCCAAAAAAATTTGATGAATCCATACTCCCACACAATACGCTTAACATCTACGAGAAGTGTGTGATTTGAAAAGTTCTCATTTTCTTTTGTAAGATTCCCTCTAAAAGAAATGAAAAAGCAATATGTTCACAGAAGAGAGATGATCAGACTGCATTTTTACCCTGCAAACACCGGCTGTACACATTCTGGAATATGAGGCTAAGGGGAAGATTAACCTATGAATAGATTATCGCGATTAATGATCGGCACAGCTGCATCACTGTTTTTTTTGTGAGAGGCATAGTACGCACTGTTCTTAGCAAAAGCTCCAAGTGAGCGGACTAAGGCTATTAATCTTTACCGTCGATTCTCTTGGCTGCACTAAGGAAAGACGTTTTGCCTTTTGCACGCTAAGTTATCGCATCAAAGTCAAAGTAACGCTTATCAAATGCGGCGCTTCTTTTCGCAAAGCTATTCACAGTCTACACTTCTTTCCAGGAGGGATATGGAGTTCAAATGGACTAAGCGAAGCAGGGATGAGGTTTATGTGTACAGATTGTCAATGATTTTATATAGTTCCAGTGGTTATACGCAGTAAGACATAAACATGGAACTTAAAGTTTAAGTCAACAATTGAAAGAGAGAGAGAGGGAGAGAGAGAGAGAAAGAGAGAGAAAGCCTTTTGGTTGACTAAAGAGAGATAACCGCTTCAGGGGCATAATTTATCCTGTTGTATAAAATTTGGAGATAAGTGAAGAAGTCATAATTTGCTTATACGCTTGGTATACGTTTCGAAGGGTTTCCAATGTTTATCCCTAATTGCTGTGGAAAGAACAACAAGCTTTTCATATCTGCCTCCATTGATAGCTGTAAGCGCTAGTAAAACTTGATCAATATTAATTCAAATAAATTAACTCTCCTTTTTGCGCTCGCGCTAGGACTCAGGATTAAGTATTATTATTACTTTGACCGCTTAAAGGACTAACACCACAAATTCATTTGACAACATTTTCAATAGATTTGTATTGTACTAATATAGATAAACGAAAGGACGGGTGCTTATACGGATCATTCCGTATACACTAACTGTCCCATACATATCGCGGCAATTGCTGTTACGGATTCAACCCGTACTGTCGAATCAAATTTATTAGAAACGTGTATTAGAACTGCCCCGAAGTACTTTCCGTTCTGCATAATTTAACTATAAGCTATCAGGTAAAGACGAGTCTCCACCCTATTCCGGACTATTCTTTGACTGATAGAGGGGAGAAGTTCCTAAACGGGCTTAAAATACTAAATCGCCTGCTACCACGATTTTATTTTAATACCGCTGACAGCAGATTATCCGTGTGTATCTTGTATTTGATGGTATTTATGGTCTTGCACACTACGCAAGACGGAGGGAAAATAAACTCAAAAATCGCGTAATGACATAGTTCAAGTTCTACCATCGATATATATCAGTTTGGCGTTGTCCTGTTCCGAATACCTTCTTTTATTCTCTTATATTTTATCTTACCACATGCAAAAAATAAAGAAAAACCAAAAATGTTTATAAAGCAAGCGTAGAAATAAAATGAATGTGCGACTTTCGGTCCTCACAGACAAGTTCCCTCATCTTTGACAGATTGCTTTAACACTTAGAACTTGTTTAAGCACAAAAATTAAAGTCAATAAATTTGAAGTAACAGTTTCTTGGGGGGGTGGTTATTAAAGCATTCGTTGTGAAACCGGCTAAGAAAGTGGCGCTTGCTCTCCCAAAACACTCTTCTCAATTTAATTTTTTAATATAAATGTTTGTTCAAAGTAAAAACCTGTTCGGGAATCAATCAAATGTATCGATACATTCGTTGTTTGAGTTTAAAATCGACTTGACATTTGATAACTAATTCTTGAAAATGTTTACTTACACTAAAAAAAATTTTACGTCAATAGTCTCGATGAACTTAAAACTAATCCGAATTATTAAATTTTCACTCGAGATTAGAAAATCGTTCATGTGACGATCTTTGCACAAATTTTTTCAAACTTTGCAGATATCAAAGTACCAAGCGACGGCGCGTGTGGTTGATTGATGAATTAAACAGCTGTTATCCCATTGATGAAATGCGATAACAAATTGATGAGCAAAGGCAAGCCGAATTATTGCGAAAGAATCGAAAAATTGAAAATTGATTATGGTAAGGATTTTTGGCGCGCCATTGAAATCTGTTTAATTGATTACTTTCCAATCGATAAAGCAATTGGATGCAAAAGGGGGAAGAGAAACTTTGCTCCACCAAGAAAAACCAAGCCAAATGTTCTTGCAATCGCCACATTGAAAAAGGTAAGCGGTTAGTCTTCCTAGCATTGGCTAATCTTGTTTGCTTTCGAATTTTAATAAAATAAATATTTGAAGCGTATTTCATCTAAGCATCTGCATTAGCTATCAGGAAGCAAATTGTCCCGACGGTTACTAGGTTCAACTGGACGGCTTTTCAGTGATCGCTTTCC